TGAACTGTGTTAAGAAAGAGATGTTTAATAACAAAATCTATTTAATAACACATTGCAAATTTAAATGTCATCTCTACCCATGGCAAGGCATCAACATGTAGTATGAAAAACAATATTGTGCCGAGCTAATAATCATACACATCTAATACATTGAAACATATATAAATTAATCGCATATATGAGCCTTCAAACAAATAAGGCATAACAAATATATTGACACCCGCATTTAAAGTAATATTAAAGTTTTTAATCTATTTCAAATGCTGAATAAATCACATACAATGGAAGCTTCTCCTTGATAATTAACCCCTTCATGACTGAGGCCCTTTTTTCCATTTTTGCACCCATGTTATATTCCACATTTTAGGCCTGAAAATGACGTAAAACCCCCCAACATTATATATTTTTGGGGGCGGCCCCTTCTTCGGGACGCAGAAGCGATCTGGCGACAGGTAAGTCGCCAGGATCGCTTCTGTTGTAAAGCCGACAGTCGGCTCTACAAGTTTAAACAGAGTCCCGGCGGCAAAAGTCGCCGGGAGTCTGTTTAAACAGCCCCGATGCTGGCGACGTACACTGTACGTCGTCAGTCACGAAGGGGTTAAACGTTTTTGTTTCCTGCAGAATCAGCTGATCCCCTGAGCAATAACCCTGATATCATGTTTTAGTGTGGCTCCTTTCCCTTTGCATGGTCCTATGGAGCTACCCTTGTGTGTGCTAGTAAGCTGTGTGTGTCTCCACAAACACACAGGCATGGCAAGGCAAGTCATTCCCTACGCCTCCTTCATCCCTTCTCCAAGCTAATAGATGGACAGCTGCTGGAGCCTGTGCTGTCCCTTGTGATCTTGTACTCAACAGAAAGTTCAGGGAAGTGGAGATGAGAGAGTTGGAGCCAGCTGTTCAGAAGCATGATGTCTGCAGGTGGTTGGGCATAAATTTAAAGAAATAATTTGCTGGGAAATTGGGGTAGCACCTGAAAATTCCCATTGTTCTACTTGTTTTGCTGGACAACGTATATTTGTTTGATTTGGATTCACTATGGAAAAATAATAATAATACTACTTTAAAGATAGTATAGAACATATATTGTATGTATATGTACCAAATAAAGAATTTCAGAGACAGGACCCCATAATAAGCATATGATTACTAATTTACCAAGTTAAATATTTGTTTACTGATGGTTGTTATATTTTTCTTAGCCTTGGCTTAAACTCCTTATCCAGGGAAGCAAGGCACTTGAAATTAGAACTGTTTAAAGGATAACATAGTCTTAAACAATTCTTGAAATCTAAAGACAAGGATTTCTGATTTTATAGTATTAAATCTGTGGAACTCAAAGAGTTACATTTAAACACTCAGTGAACACAATTTATGATAGAAACATTTACTGCTAAACTCACTTCTGGCTATCTTTATAGACATAAATGGTCATAAAATTAAAGGAAAGCACTTGTTTTGTTCTTAGTTGCTAATTTAAAATGTTAATGCTTGTTACACAAATTTAGCAATGCAGTAGGTATTACTCATTGTGATAAGGTTAACACTTTTAAAATCAATGAAAGCGGGATATAGATGTGCAGCAACAAAATATTACTATGCTTATGGTGCTGTATTAGAATTTTATTTGCTAAAGGGAACAGGCAGATTTTCGAAATTCACCGTTAACTTAAAACAATAGTTTCAAACCTTTTATTTCTTAGGCCTTACTGCCTCCAGGACTCAAAGGAACATCTGGCTATTTAGAGAAAACAATATGTTCACATCCTCTATGACTTTTTGTTTCTAATTGGGTTTTAAGTTTTTCTCTCGTAACGAAGTAAGCTAGTAAACAGCAAGGAGGTCATATAAAGATCACAATACTAAACTATGGAGGGTGGAAAGTATCTAAAAATCTATGGATGGCTCCTGTCCTACTATCATGAAAAAGATAGCATTCTGATTATTGTATCTTGTTAATAGATGTAATGTAAGGATTCAGTATATCAGTCCCTTTGTTTTATTTCACATGTTTTATTTATATTTTTCTCCACATTTACACCAGACCAAGCTGTCAAGCCAAAGTGACAGTGACGGGGGTTGCCACAAACTATAACACTGCTGGAGGTGCTTTAGGGATTGTTCATACCAGGTGCATTGGACTGCACTTGGCAGCCTTGCAATTTGTCTTGATTTCTATTATGTCAGTTCATACCACCGTGGTGTGCGCTGAAAAAAAGTACATGTAGTACCTATTTTCAGAGCAACATGTTGTGACAAAGGGGTGATCCTAGACCCCCACTGCCATAATCTTCCCGCTCAGCTCCTGGCAACTAGTCACATCACTGGTTGCCACAAGCTAGGTGAGACTCTGGCCAGAGCATCACAGGTCGCTATGCACTCTTAGCAACCTGGGACACTCTGACAGGAAAGGGGGCAGCAGATGTGTCTCCCACGTGACCAAATGAGATGCCGCCTGAGGCTACCTCCTCGGGCTGCTTCATTGTAGGGGTGGCCCTGCTGTGGCACACTACACAGCATCACAATGCACTGCAGTTAATAAAACTGAATGAAATGTCATTTTGTAACATTTCAACAAAGTTCAAACACAAAATAAAAAATGGTAAACAGTGTGACACACTGAAATCAGCGCATCACATGGCTTTATTCCCAACGCACACCAGCGTTAGTATGGAACATGGTTTCCTGAACATACATACATACATATGGGGGCTGATTATTCAAAGCTAAAGAACAGAAAAAAAAATGAAAGTGGAACTATTGCCCATAGCAACCATTCAGGTATAACATTTTATTTCTAGGTGACATTTAAAGTGCAAGAGTGCTCTTTTATAAAAAAGACCGCATGGGTTCACACAGTCCTCCTTTATCTAACGTACCAAAAATCAGATCTCAGATGCAGTGTGGCCCGGCCATAAACTGTTGGGTTCTACAGTTCATCTCCATAGAGCTTGTACTCGTGCCCCACACAGGAGCTAAGGCAATGGGAGAAAACTCAATTATAAACATTGGCCAGTGCAGTGGAGAGCCTGACATTGTAGAGCAGGACTGTGCTACATCTGAGGTCTGAATTTTGGTATAGCTAATAGTGATGGGCTCGGGCGTGTTCGCAGCTTCATGTGTCGAGCCCGCCAGGAAGCTGACAGCGCCAATCACGAGTACTGAGACATTTCCCGATCTCTGCAGCTGCGGAACGGGAAATGTCTCAGTACTTGTGATTGGTGCTGCGACACTGTCAGCTTCCTGGCGGGCTCGGCACGTGGAGCTGCGAACACCCCCGAGCCCATCACTAGTAGCTTAATTCCAGATACAAATAGCATTAATTTGTATCTGGAAGTAGCATTAATTCCAGATACAAATACTTTGTGACAGGCCAGGCCACTACTCTACATATGGCTAGTATTATACTGTGAAGGCAGCCATTTTATTAATTAATTTTCCTGACTTCACTGTACATTTGTGCTTTATTCTCCTTAGTGTACCAGAAGAAGAGTCCAGAAGGAATTGCTGAAAGCATTTTTAAGCCCTATCAAGATACCCAGCACAAAAAAATGTCTGATGAAAGCTAAATGATTACATTAAAACATTTGCTTGTGTTGATTTCAGTCACATAGGATTCTCCTGAATAATTTCCCTATTTAAATGAGCCTGAATAGGCCAGTCTGCCCAAAAGCAATACTTATAGGTGGAGGCTGATGTGCAGGGTTGCCCTTGTCTTCTTATAGGTCTTGAATAGGGAAATAGCAAGTATGTTTCAGCTTCTCCTGTTGCTTTCTCCATGATATAAAATAAACTATAAACACAACAAGAAGAGTGGAATTCCCTTATAAGTGTGGAGACCCAGAGTCTCAATGATAGAGATCACACTGACAGAGTTAGAAGATACAGCATATTGGCAAGTATTTAACTTCCCCGCATCTAAAAAAAAACCTGAAATATCAGTTATGGGTAGAACAACCTTTTTTTACAGTGCCTTAAATATCTGTTCACTGAACAGTAAATTCCAATGAGGTGTCTATTTAGAAGGACAGGAAAAGGAGCTATCCGAGATGGAGATAAATAACACTTCAAGGTATAAAATAACAATCTATAAAAAAATAAGGCTTTTAGTGCTTAACGTCCAGTTACAAAATGGTTTTTGACTTTGGACAAGTAAATACTATTACATTTTTATTGAGAGAAAATAACAAATGGCGGTGAAGAGGAACTACACCCTCCTATCCTTTACAGCTAAGGAAGGTGCCATCTTGGCCTCTATTTGGATTGCAGTTGCCATGGTGCTGCACATGTGATCAGCAATGATGCCAGCCATTTGAGGGTCAAACCTGGTGGATCAAGTGCCACTTTAAAATAACTCCTTGATCTTATGGGATCAAGCTTTCATATCTATGCTTAAAAAAAGATGAGAGGCAAAATCAGGTGAAATGAAAGTCAAACTATTTGGAAAAGTTGGTTTGGTCATTCAGTTAAGGAGAAGAATGGGGTTTGGATAATGTCTACATGACTGTCACTTGATTCGAAGGAAAGAATCTTTCATAGAAGAAGCTAGTTCATCCACATTTTGCTGTGAATGCATGTGACTGACAACAGAAATGTCAAACTGCCACTTACCAGTACTTGGTTATGTTGCTTCAAAGGAAAACTTCAAAATGTCTGATCATCACTATGTGAACAATCATTTACCCCAGATTTACTATTTGCTTTGAAAACTTCTGGTGTACTTGTTGCTGTACAGTGCACAATTAATACAGATCTAAAACATCCTTAAAGCTTCCCCCCTCTAAACACACCCTCTGTGATTAATGATATGTACCGCTGTCACTACAGATAGTAGATGACAGCCTCCAGACGTAATCTCTCCATGAGGTCCCAAAACTTTATGCTAATGTCTATTGCTAGCTGCCAAGTAAGCTCTTCGTCTAAAACACATTTGCACACTTTGATAGTATAATTGTTGATGTGCTTTAGGCACTGAAGAAAACAGGCTTTTAGTATTAACGTACCTTTGGGTCTCTCAGAAACAGAGCCTTGAGAATTAGGGAATGTACGTCACCGATAGGTGGGTAATGCATTAGAAGTCCCAGACACGTCTGATAGTTGCTGGAGATTACTAGAAGTAAAGAAATTAAATATACATGCAACCATTAGGAGAAGGAGCAATGCAATTTCTTCAGACATAGAAGTGTAATGTAATACCCAAGCAGAAGTCAGCCAAAGAAGTCCTGCAAAAGCTCGCTCTGTGCAACACAGCCCTTTAAAGCTCTGGCCTCTTGTATAATTGTGGCCCATTCCACACTATCAACTGCTTTTAATCTCCACCTTTGACTACCAGCTCTCCTAGGCTCTATTTCACATCATGAATTCATCTCTTTACTGGTCTTCCATTCTACCTTCTATGTCCTGGATTCCACTCATAAATCTTCTTGAAAATTATTTCTCCCATCTCATTACATGTTCAAGCCATCTAAGCCTTTGGCTTCTTATATTGATTATGTTAGTTCAATGTTCATAGCTTAAGTATAAATCATAATTTTTCCTCCCTTTATTAAGATCCCTCTAGAAATCCTTCTTAAAAATGACTTTCCTTACCTGTAAACCCAGGATCAGGACAACAAGCCTGCATCTAAGGTTTACTTAAAATAAACCTGTGGTGCATCCATCTTTCAGAAATTACCTCTACAGCTAGATCTAAATGACCCCTCATTATGAATGAGGCTTTGGTTTGCTGCTATAAGAGTTAAAGGTGAATCATGCAGGTTAGAGATACACGGTTTATGTATAGAGTCACCCAGGAGAATTTTTTAAAACCATAATGCATGACCTTTGAACTATGGCCAGCAGGCTTAGAAAGACCAACAAGGAGCTTTTGGCTTGGCCAGCCCCCATATCATTAGAAGACAGCAGCCATAGTGTCAATGAATTGGAAGCTGTAGTGGGGACAGCATAGGGCAAGCTTATAAACTGCACAGGAAAAGATCAGGGTCAGTCAGAAACTCTACTTTAATTCTTTCATTTCTAGCTCTTGGGGCAATGGAGCCATTGCTGCCTTTCTTTGTTATTATTGTTTTGTTTTTTTTTGTATTTCATTTAGTGGTTGATTTGAGGTCAGCGGTTACTTTAAGATGTTATCCTTTCCATAGCAAACGTTTTTGTATTTCAAGGTTTTCTTTTATTTTTGGGGTATATTGGTTTTTGTTACATGTAGTTAAAGCCATTATTTTGGGGTTAAAATTAGCTTTTTAACTTTAAAAAGTGGGCTTTTCTATTAGAGTTTTTTTAAATTTCTTTTGTACATGTTTTAAAATTTATGTTGAGAAGGTCTATGCGCTGCAGTGGTCTACGCTGGCTGTTAAAAGTTTGCCTATTGCCTTAAAAATGGTTATAATTTAACAAAGATTCCCTCCCCATATACTTCAATGGAATTTGCCTCTAACTTTGGGTTCTCCAAATTTCGAACAAGGTTCACAGAATCCTTGGCAAATCGAACCCAGGCAAACTCACCCATCACTACCCCCTCATGGTAAGGGGAGAGGGACAGTATTTCATGTTCAACCTGTCTACTTTTGAGTCTAAATGACAAAATATAATGCAATCCAATTAAATTATCAGGTTGGTGTTATTGTTATCCTTTACAGCAGTCCAGAAGCATGCTTGTGCTTCAGGGAACCAAAGGGGAAATTAAAAGTAGGAACCGGTCAGGTATTATGTGATACCATAATTTTAAGGAGGGGGGGGTATTAAAAGGTGGAGACTGCAAGTAATAAATTTGCCCACAATTGTGCAGAAGCCATGGCCTTTAAAGGGCTAAAGAAAGAGAGAGTGCAAACTGTAAATCAAATATAGAATTTAGATACTTGTGTATTACACTCACACTTTTATAAAAAGCCTCTTTAAAATTCTTCCATAGTTTAACCTTAGATTGTTGGTATCTGGTTTTAAAACAATTAAACGACTTGCCATGTATTGTTTCATTAAACTGTTTAATGTCACACTAAAACTATGAAAAAACAAACAAACACTGACAGAGACTAACCTTTTCACAGTAATTTATTTTCTGTCTGACAAAATACAATACTTGTATTTAATTTGTTACTTTTGTCTCAAGCAATGCTTTTTTCCCATTCTTATTTTCTTTTCCAAAATCATACATTTTACAAGGACAATTACTAAACCCATCATTCAAAGCAGGTCTATGAAAACTGCATTTTTTTTCTCCAATCGAAATGCAAGCAATCCATCTGCTGTGGCTGTCAAAGCAAAGCCTATTAATGATGCTTGTTTAGTATACCATATTGACTGCCTGCAACAATACTATCTGCTAGCATACTGAAAACAAGTGTACTTTCTGTTAATCCTTTCTCTTTTAAAGCAGAACAAAAGCAAAAGTTACTTACTACTTGCTTCCAAAAACCATAATATACTAAATGTGCGTGGTCTCATACCTGTGGTTATAGCAAGAACCGATGATGATTGCTAAGTTTAAGGGGCACACTAGATAATTATTGAAATCACAGTCATCTCACAGCCACTTTCAACAAGGGATAAAAAAGGGGAGCAATATAGTGCTAAAGTCTTAAAATCCATTTTCCCATTTGTAAGTGGTTAGCATTTATTGTGGTGAGGAAGCGGTGTAATGATGATATTTGGAGTGGCCAGATTATTATGACCACCCCATCAGTACTTCGTTGGGCCACGAGATAACTCCACGAGATGACGTTGTTGGGCCGCCTTGTGAATCCACGAGATGTTGAAAGGTGATGCAAGGAATCTGACACTGCACTGTTGCCCTTCTGTTGTCTTGTACCAGTCTTGCCACTCTCCGTTCTGCCCTAACATTGACTAGTCGCTGACGGCCACAATTCGCACGTTCAGACCCAGATTTTTGGCTGACAGTCCAGTCTTTAAACACTTTAACAACAGCTGCTCTTGAACATTTAACGAATTCTGCTGTTTTGCTGATACTCGCTCCATGGCTCGCGCCAACAATCATCCCACGTTCAAAGGCTATTAAATCGCGTTATTTACCCGTATTTTCAGTAAAAAATCTTCTACTGTCATGGTAAACCTGCTTCCCTATTTATAATGGTCTGGAGCTCTAGCAACTTCAGCGCGAAATTATAGCTAATTATAGCTAATTTGCCTACACATGTCAGGTGGTCATAATAAACTGGCCACTCAGTGTATATGTGTGCATATTTTCATGACTCACATTTTTGATGAACTTATTATTAGGCCTGAATCCTAGAAATTCTAAATTTTCTTCACAAGAAATTCAGTCTGACACCGGGGTGTCGCATTGTAATGTAGGCTGTAAACTAGGGCTGCAACAACTAATCGACAATAATAATAGTTGGCAATAGTTGGAGAAGATCGGAGGACACCACTTCGGCCGGCGAAACGGCGCACTGACGCTGACGCGCAAGGTCGGAGGTCGATCGGCGGTCCGTCGTAAGTGCGAGTGGTCGCAAAACAGTCAGTAAGCGAGGAACATCTGTATACATACATTGCTTGCACAGCACAGATGTGACAATTTCCAGGAGGATTTGGGGAAAGCTAAAAAATATTGTAGTTCACATACAGCAGCTGCATATGCCTGCTTTATGTAGACTCGGTGTACATTGCTGGCATATGTTTTTTTTTTAAATACCTCTGCAAAAGTGGAAATGGGCTTTAAAGTGAAAATGCAGACAAACCTTTTTTGTACTGGATTCCTTAAAGGCTATTGTGAGGTGTTCCCACTCTCCAGGAGCCAGGAATTATGGTGGGGAGATCTTGGAGTATCCATGACTAAGGTCATCAGGTTCCACCTGACTAAAATATAACTGAATGCTTCTGAAATCTGTGGGTTAAAAGTGGCCCACATTTTTTTCAGTGTCATTTTGGTGTAATGAATCTGACCACTTAGCTCAACATACTGTAGCTAATTAGGTGTAAGCCCCTTTAAAAAATAAATTGGACAATTTATACTTATTTAAACAGTTTTCTTGTCATCAGTGTCAGAACTCCTGCTTAGAAATTACTGACCCAGATTGAGTCCTATCAAATATAGTGATCGGTTTCTTGCACAAGGGGACAGCAGGAGAAAAAAAAAACTGAATGTTAGCTAAACATAATTATATATTAATGTTTATTTAAATGAACTGTGGTGTATTTCAAAACTTTTATGTATTAAACCCTGAGTATCCTTGGTGATCCATCACAGTGTCATTTCTTACATTATACTGTTTTTATCAATGCCAGGGTTGTATATCCCTATTTAAATGTAAGTGTACAGCGATTCATCAAAGAAGAAATGCAGCATCTTTAAAGAGGCAATGGCAAAGTCCAAGCTGTTCTGCCTGTTATATGATTTAAGGGTTTAGTAAATGGCCCCCAAGTACTTCAGATCATGTGACAACACTACAGCATTACTGGAAAAGTAAAATGTTATTTCCTGCTGAGCCAGAAATACAAAGAATGATGTGACAATGTCATATATACTGGATGTATTTTCCTTGTTGTCCAGTAGGTGGTGCTCATTACTAATGGCTGCTTTACTGTTGTCATGAACGACCACAAAAAACTATTGCTGCTCATAATTAAAATAACGAAATACTTTAACTTTTTCTATCTATAAATTGCTATAGATGTCACCACTGCTTACAAAATGTGACTGTATAGGTTAGTCTAGTATGTTTTGTAAAGCTCCACAACCTGCAAATATAACAACTGGAATATAATTGGCTGTTTAGATTTGTACTCTAATAGTGAGATCATGCTGATGTTAAAGAGTTTTATTTTGTACAAAATAAAATTGAAAGTAGGAAATGGTCAAGGGCCCCTTCACATCTACAAGTTTCATTGTGGCGCCTTACCACACGCATCTTAACCTGTGTTATTTTATATATTAACGTGTGTTCTGTTAACGGACCTATACCATTTTTATAATGCAACCCACTGCTATGCAGGTCCAGTGGTACCTACTGTACTTGTAATTTGGGGTACCATTCTAAATTACTGGCACTGCAACACTCCGCACAGAATGCCATCTGGGACATCATCACGCATGCGCATAACATCATCACGCACACACTTAATGATGTTGTGCGCACTTACCTGCTTGCGGCCATCACGGTCCGTGACCGAGTGCCCAACTTTTCAGAGGGAGTCAGTCATTTTGGTGCCACCCGGTGTGGGCCGCCCTCACCACACCCCCCTTGTATCTTATTTGTGTATCACTTGGCTTTAGATCCTCAAATCATATCTGACTTGGTGCTGACACTGTCCTTCCTTCTGAAAGGTGGCTACTTTTGTTTCCCATGGTCCCTGTGTGTGTTTTAAAGTAGCCACTGTTCCAAGCTCACTCCAGTGATAGACTACAACCTCAATACAAATTTGCAAACTAAATGTGAGGTAGTAGTCCATCACGGGAGTGAGCTTGGAGCGATGGCTACTTTACGCAGGGACCATGGGGAACAAAAGTAGCCATCCTCCAGAAGGAAAGACAGTGTCAACATGAATTTAGAGATGATTTCAGAAACTACAGCAGAGCGATACACAAATAAGCTCCAGTTTTGTTAATAGTAAAAGGTACTTGAATGCATTTTTAAGATCTAACACTGGAGTTTAGTGTCACATTAAGCATAGTAGAACAAACACATCTGCCACTGTACTTTACACCACAAAAAAAACACTTTATTTTAAAATACATGATCCATGTAGTGCCACTTTAACAGAAAAGGTTGCTGGCTGCAGCAGGAAGAAGTGGAAAATGCCTTCCATTTGAATAATACAGAGTCAGTCTTTGTTTGATGTAAGAAAGTAAGGTGCTTCTGCCAAAGGAGGGCCTTCAAAGCACCAGAGGTGGTGGATGTTACAGTTTACTACTACAGTATTACCTCAGGCCACACAGCCACACATACACCAGCCTCAAATTTCCTTATAAAAATTGTCTTCCAGGATTTTTTTAGGTCTATATTATGTAAGAGTCTAGTCCATTAAAATGACCACAGGGTTCCCACTGGATGAGCCAGTCATTATATCAACATTTTATATTTCAGGAAAATAGTATTCCATGAAGTCACACTGCAATACATAGAAGCATATAATGATGTAGTACTTACATGCATCCCTAATATACAGCAGCATGGCTACAAAAACATAGTCCACCAAATCTAATGTAATGCTTTCTGCAAATAAAGCATCCCAAATGACTAGCAGGTCCTGCAGAGGGAACTCCCGACCAAACAAGAGGCGTACCCATCGTCTGAAATACAAAATGTAATATGTTACAGTTGAAATGCATTGGTTGTTTGTTAAACCTGAGAAAATACATTTTGTTATCAGTATTTAGTATCTTACTATGCTTACTTACTTCTTGTTGTATGTCCTATGTGCAAAAAGACATTATGGACCAGAGCATCTAAACCTAATATCCAGCATAATATAAAATAAATATAACATTTTACAGGCCTCTATAATTCTTATAACAGAGGAACCTCTCATTATAGCCTCAACCAGTGGGGGGAGCTGGAAACTCCAAAGCAGAAATCTCAGTACTGTAGGTACAGTTGGTAATTAAGTTCACCAAGACACAAGTAAAAGAGATATCAGATTTGATTGAACTGATCCTTAAGTAGTAGACGTTTTTGAGACAGCTGCATCACAGATAAAAGAAATGGTAGCCTTGAAAGAAAGTGCAGCAGCAATTAATAGCAAGATCCTTCAAACTGACTGTTACGATGAGCTAGACTCAAGGAAAAAGGAAGAGGATACGTCTGTAATAGAACTCCTTCCAAGATGAGAGAAAAAGAAAGGAGAACATTTGCCACTTTTACTAGAGTCTAGAAAATAGTTAGTGAGACTTGGTTTGAAGAGCCAATGTTGTGACTTGCCCAATTTCCAGATTCTCCAATTCTAGGAGGAGAATAGAAAAAAATACTGTGAAAACTCATAACGTTGATTCTATCAGTGAAGCCCCCCTGGCATTCCACAAGGGAGAAGCTAGTAAATTAGACCACTAAAGCTAATACACTAGGCAATGTCATGGATACAATATAAAAACTACTGAAATATACTGAAGAGTTAGGCTCTCTCAGGCAAGGTAGCGTGGATATTAATCCCTGTTGATATAGGAATCCCTCCAGAGAGGAACAGGGCTCTAAGAGATAAGGATTTCAAGGTGTGCAAAGCAACTTTAATAGCAAAGGACTACAGGATGGAAAGAATTATGTGATCAAAGTTAGGAATCAGAAATCCCAGGGTGTAGAAAACTTGCACTGTTTCTGGAGAAAAAAATGCACAAGAAGTGCAGTAATGCCAGAAGGGGCAGACATATAAGGATGTCGTATCCAAATATTTAGAGTGGAGCTACAAGGGGAACTTGAGCAGCCAAACCACTAGGAGATAGTAAAGGAAGGAGTAAAGTGAAGGAGTATCTTTTATATGGAGTGTTGAGAAGATGATACAGAAAAATGTTGGAATTAAAGATCTGGAGTTTGAGTAGAAGAACAGACAGAAATTATCTACTAGGTACTACTGAAGTAGTAAAGGATGAATGGGGTTCCTTTGCCATCCCAAGATCTGTGTTGAGCCAGGTGCACATTTTGAGCACTAAAGGCTTCAGGGATATAAGTATCAAGAGTAGAGTTGAAAAGGCATGTACCCTGATAGGGAGAGTAAATCAACTTTTCCGTTAGTAAATGCTCTGTGTGCCAGACACAAAGTCCCCTTTGCATCTTAATAGGCATTATATGCCCATGAAAAAGACACAAGCTTGGATGCTTGTAAAAGATCACTGCAACTGTACCGCAGGGCTCCAGACATTTGTTTGAAAAGATCCCGGCACAAGGGTCTATACTTGAAATGGAGCAGTCTCGTTTAACAGAGCTTCACAAAGACACAGATTCATAGATCTGAGTTACCATCAGTAAGGGATGGACAATTAAGCCAGATAACTCAAACTGAGACCTAATTAGGTAATCCAACTGATAATCAGTAAAATCCCTAAAGGTAAGATCATCATCAGCCTGTCTGGTGGCATATTTGTTACTGTGAATGAACGGAACGTTTATAATGGGTAGACCACTTATCAGTTAATTCATTTTCAAAGGTAAAAAGCTCCTTCACATAGGGATGTTCGGATACCAGTGCCGATAATTGGCATTTACAAGAACTACCAGGGTCGCAGAAGTTGCAGCTGTGACAGAGCCCCGGCACTCCACTACTGTCCTGAAATCATTAGTCTGTATTGTTTTAGAAAAACTGCCACATGACAATAAACAAAAATTTATCAGTAATTGTATCTGTAAGTACTTGGAAAAGTATCTGTATTTGGTCTGGAAAAAATGGTACCGGTGGATCCCTAATATAAGAAATCATACATTATAACAAGGATGCAAAAATCCCAGGAGCCCCATATGCTCCTTAAAAATGACAGCTGCCTCCTAACTTTTGATTTTTTCTCTAGTGTAGTCTTGGAGCTGGGAAAAGTATCTGTACTTGTACCAAATACGGCACATGGTATCTGAACATCCCTACCTTCACGCTGTCAGGGGGAATTCATGATTCCACAGTTAATTCCACTTATTATAGAGGAAGGTTTAACATACCAAGTGTATTGGAAAGGTCTTTGGAATAACAACTCTAAAATACCCTGAGCCTGGAACAGCAGGCCGATCATTCAACTGCAGTGTAGAGTGCACTGCATCAATCATGGAACTTGCTGAAATACAGGCTCTTCAGGGGAAGGTTGTAAAGGATCTGAAGTTCGCAAATCTTAGAATGCAGCTGAGTGTTAATATGGCTTATCGTGCCATATTGGTTCATGCTGGTAGGCCTCTTCAAAGACTGGGTCACACCAAAGTCTATGCCACGGCTCTGAACCTGGAGAGCGTTCTGCGGCTAACTAGTACAATACATAGAGGTCTAAAAAGTGCCACAATGCAACACCCGGTACCCAAGGGTCACATTATAGACTAGCCTCACCATGACATGAGGCTTGTTTTCAGAGACTGGGTAACACCAGTAGGCTGTGCCATGAGTCTAGACCCCGAAAGCACTCTGTGGCAAAGTTCACAGAGATCTAAAAGGTGCCACAATGCAGAATCTAGTAACCCAGAGGGGTCTGGGTACAGCCTCCAATGCTATCGCTGAGGAATACACCGATCTGGATAGCTGCTGCATACAGACTAGGTCAAAGCAGCATTATTTTAGGTTTAGGCAGCTGCCAAAGAAAAATATGTACAGAACATTTCAAATAAAGAAAAAGAAAAGTAGAAAGAAAAAAAAATCCAAAGTTAGCGATTTTCAGCAGAGATGAGAAAAAAAGCGTCCAATCCCCTCAAACACTAATAAAAAACGGAGGCATTACTTTTGGAGGCAGGGCTATACAGTCATTGGCTTAACAGTGTTTTCCACTATCCAAACCCCCTGAAGGTGGAGGTATAACCCCAAATGTCTAAGCATTACTATATTCCTGTGTCTCTCAATAGACAATAAAGACAGGTATATTATGTTGCATTCATGAATATTTATCCATGTTTTCTCTTTTTCAAAAACACTACAGGTACAAAAAATGACCTGCTAATCCTGTCAAAAATCAAGAAGCGCTATCAGCCCTGAGGTCTCCTATGTATTCAAGAAGGGAGAACTAGCCTGGGCTGACAACAACACATGGGTATTCAGTGCAGCAGAAGCAATGTTTTGCTCAGTCAAGACATTAGGAGCACACTGGATTTCTGGCAGATCAACTGATTTTATTTCTGTACGGATGAAGAAAGCAGTAAGAGTACATGTGTTGCAAAGATGCACTGAACGTTTTTCTTTTCCCCAGACACACACTGTAAATGGAACTATCAACCTGGGGAGTTTATTTGAAAGATATGTTTCTGAAATGCATCTTGCAAGTTACTAACTGAGCAAATGTGGGATCACTGAAACTGTGACCTTTACAAATACCATAGTACTTCAATGGCCAGCCTGCTGTCCACAAACAACTGTAAACAAAAGCACGATATGGTCCTAATGTTACTTGTAAGGATACTGAGAAATGGAAAGCACTCATTTTATTACAGGGTCAATCTTAATGAGAAAGGGACATCCATATTCCTAGAATTACACTTACAGTCAGAAATATTCAGCCAATGAACAAATCCCTCAGTGCTAGCAATTATCATGTTATATGCCTAAGCAAGCGGCACCACAAATAATTGATGGAAAGAATATCACACTACATGGGTGAATTTCCACCTGCGTGCACATGTGTTATATCAAATTATCAGAATGTGATGTGGTAGTGATCCAAAATTAGAAAAAAAACAAGTCAAATAAGCTTTAAATTATGTCTGAAACACCTGTCGGGTGGGTATGTGACATAAAAATTATTTTTTAAGTAGAAGGGAGGATGTAGATTGGATCATTGGAGTTGACAAGTGTTGTCCTTTGTCAGCCGTGACTCTAACTGATGAACGTTCTATGCAACAGCCAGGGCAAAATAGTCTTCATTTACCATTTTTTTAATAGACAGAGGTGTCTTTGTGAGTAAGTGTTTACATTTAAAATAAAAACGGAACTCAAACTTAAAACAAACAATAAAAAAATGGGGGGGGACAAAATCATGTTATTACAACACAAAAGCAATGATGATGAGCAAAGTGCAATAACCCACACCTTTTAGTAAGTAGAATCTTATACATTTAAAAGGGTTCATGCTCTTTGCACTGCCTTATGATATAATACAGCATGCTAGGGATTCTATACAATTCAAAAACCTGGGATTTCAGAATTCAGTAATGCTCTGTAATAACTTACCTCGTCATTATTGAATTTCTAAATGGCTAAGGCAATATGGAGAGTATGAGCCATCATATTCATTAAACTCAATTCAATTTAAATTCAATTAAAAATCTGTTGTTGGAGCAGTAGTAAACTTAGCACAATTTATTATCCTATCAACATTTTCTAAGAACTGTGGCATGAACAGAAAGACTCATCCTTTGCTGAGCTGCTGGCAGATACAAAGTGTACGTTGTCACACAAAGACATTATCACCAGAATAAATAAGGAACAATTCAAAGGAATCTGTCACCAATAAAAGGCCACTCAAAGTGTTAGGATTAACGCCCAACTTTTCTTTAGCTGTCTGTGTTCCTATTGGATAAATCTCTCCCTACGTCCTGTTCAAGTCTCTCCAGTGGGCCACAGACAAAAAAAAAAAATTGTTGGTAAACTGCAAGCATGCAGAAGTGTAAAGAGCTGTGAAAGCAC